GAAACAGGCTAGATTTACCAAACCCATTGAGTGGCCCTGTTAACCTAACATTGCACATCTGATTTTTGAACAATTATTTTTCAAGTCAGGATGGGTGTCAATGATAAGATGTATGCTTTGTGAGAATTAAATCAGATGACTTAGTGCTTAGCACTAATAAGTGCTCAATAAATTGTATTACTATTCCTATACTGTGGTGTTCTCTAAAACTTTTTGTTAGCAAGGTAGTAATATGAAGTATATAAATAAGTCAGAATTAGTATTCTATGAGAAATTAAAAGGCTTTAGGGATACCAGTTTGTCCTTATAGAAGAGACAAAGCCTATTCTTATGGCCTTCAACATTACCACTCTGTTCCTATCATAAAACATTCCATGAGGGAACTCACTGAATATCAGCATGATGAGAAATAGACTCTACAATACTCTTTATTGATTCCCTCATCTATTCGCTGGGTGTTCTTGAAAAGTTCGTTAAATTCCATTCTTTTTTTTTTTTTTTTTTTCATTTAACCATTTTTAAGTGTTAAGTATATTCACATTGTCTTGAAAAGATCTCAAGAACCTTTTCATCTTGCAAATTTCAATCTCTATACCCATTAAACAACAACTGCTATTATTATTATTTTTTGCACTTTAGGTTCTGGGGTACATGTGCAGATCATGCAGGATTGTTGCATTGTGGTTTGCTGCCTACATCCCCCCATCACCTATATCTGGCATTTCTCCCCATGTTATCCCTCCCCAACCTCCCTACCAGCCCCCCTGACTGTCCCTCCCCTAGAGTTTGCCAACACTTGGCCAAAAGGTTGGCAAAACTAGAAAACGCTGTGATTATCTCCACCACATGTTCCTTGAGTACTCACATATTCAGCTGTCAGGCAGCATTGTAGATCAAGTCTGCTACATCAAGCTCATCCTGAGGAGTTTATGTGCTAAGGTCTTGGATTGATTTCCTCAGGCGGGAGCAGTTGTGATTTGGAGAGTAGATTGTCTTGTTGCTCAGTAGTCACCAGTATTGATGATCATTCACGTGGATTCACAGATATTCATGCTTTTAAACTTAGTCGTTGGGGAAAATGCTTACAAGCCACTGTAGCTGAACTGTGCCCAACATAAAATTTCAGCATGAAAGTATCAACTGCATTGCTTTATTGAGTAGAAACAGAAAGCTGAGCTTGAAAGACTCAACTCGGAATCAGTCTCCTATCTCTTACTAGTTGTGTTTTGTCTGAGCCTCAGCTTCCTTCAGAGAATAGGAATAATTAGACCTTTTACAGAGGGTTATTATGAGGGTTAATGAGGTAATAAAAGCCAAAGTGTTGGCAGGTTATCTGTACATTTTCACTTCTAGCCCTTCCGCATCCTCTCCGTTCTCTCTTCTCCCTTTCCCAAAGCCGTCTCCCTTCTTCCTTCTCTATTCACCTTCTTCCTTCTTGCCTCCTCCTTCCTCTTTCCTTCTAAGCCCTTCTTTCAGCGAGCTAATGGATTTGTATTATCACTTAATCACAGCTCAGTAAAGAAAAATGTGTTTAAGTAATTTGTTTTTCTTATACAAATCAAAGTCCTTTCAATACATGATGTTCTTGAATCATATTTTTGGGTGACTGACAACCAGAAGCCATTACAGAACACCTTAATCGTGAGATTAGTACTAATGATTTATTCCTTGTGCATTGAGTACAACTAATGCTAGCTTCTTCCTTTATTTAATCTCTGGAAGTTAAATATGCACTATGTATATAAGCTGCTTTATAACTAAAACTTGGTTAGGGAAAAAGCACTTAAACAGGTTCTAAGGGTAATCATTAATTTGTTTAGCGAAAAGTCCACAGTGGTTTCATAGAATTTCTTTCTATTCTCTTGAATGTGAGTTCTTTGGAATTTTTTTCTAAACAAAGATTTCAAAGAAAGATTTCCCTTTTCTTGTTCCAAAGGGAAGATAACAGCTTCTTTCAATGGAAACGATTAAAATGAGTTATTGAGTACTAGCATCTATAAAAGATCTTAGCACTTTGTAATTTACTGAAAAGGGAGGTTTGGGTATTTATCATGTGCCAGTAAAGGTATTCCAGTATCTGTCTTGACAAGATAATTAGGTAAAATTGCACAGCAGGCAAACTTCTGTAGGCACAGAAGAGTAAGTGAGTGGGCAAGGGGGAAAGTAATGTTGATTGAGAGAGACTTTATTCATAGTCAAGTCAAAGGCATATGAACTAAAGCTGTTATGATATAGTCTTTGTCCATTTTGTAGATGAGTCTGTCTTCAAGGTGTTACAAATGAAGTATGACAGGAGAACTCTTTTCGATTATTGCTGCTAGGAGAGAGAACTCATATCTGCGCTTCAGAAAGAATCCTGGTTTTGAAGTGATTGTTCACATGGGTGCTTGACATTGATGGTTGCTTTGTGATGCCATGAGCAGTTGTGTACTTTGAGTCCAGACACATCTGGACTCTTGGTCTTAGAAAATAACCTCTCTGAATGGCAGTTTCTCGTCTGTAAGTTGAAATTATCCAACTTAAACTTAGCGAACAAGTAATCAGCATGATAAATACAAGTTTGTTTTCTCTCCTCCATTCGACACGTTGTTCTGCCTGCGAACCTTTGTCAATAAGATTTATTTTATTGCAGTTACACAGTTTTCTTATTTACTTCTTTACTACATTGTTTTCAGACTTCGTTTTGCAAATTAGGAAGGAACATAAGAAATTCTGTGATTTACTATCCCATACCACTGTGTGTATAGTATCTTTCAGAGATGATGGTATCCTTTGAATAGTGATAGTATGAAGAATATTTTCTGACCACTCAGCCATTTGTATTCACTGTTGCTTTAACAGGCCTTTTGCTTTCTTGTCTTGATTCTTTTGTTCACATTATCTCTGCTTCATTCCTTTCTACAATGCCAAATTCAAGTGCTTCTTTCACTAAGCCTTCCATTATCATTGATTTCTACATCCTCTGTAGTCACAGCTTTTAGTGATACTACTCTTAATTGGACTATAATTATGTGCCCCTTGTCAGCTGATCCTATTGTTTTGCATCATTATTTAACTGTATTTGTAATTCAACTGGATTTTCAAACTCGGATGAGAACTCTATGCTGTAAGTCTTTAAATCCTCCCCAGTGCTAAGCACAGTGCCTTGTACATAGAGGACACCTAGTTTTTTGCTCATCCACTCGTCTATTTGGCATTCATAAGACATATATTGAAGATTTCCTTTGTGCCACACACTGGTCCTTGGTATTGAGAAGCTAAAGATTAAGATGGCGTAATAAGATCTATGCTATGCAGCAGCACAGTCTAGTAAGGGAGATAGACAAGGTAATAAATAGTTAACATATGTTATGCATAACAGAATGGAAGGATATTCAGCACATGCCAGTAGCTTAGAGGAGCCAGTGACTGGGGACATATTTATAGATAGGGATATTCTTTTAAATGTTTGAACTGTGTCTTAATGGAAAAATAAGACTTTTCTTGAAAAAAAAGTAAAAAGACCAGTTTTTAAAAATTACTTGATGCCTTGACTTTACCCTCTTTATCCCAAGCGTTGTCACGTTCTCCCGAAAGTTTTAAAACATGATTTATACTAACTTTATCTACGTTAACCAAAAGCATGTCTTTTGGCACTTTCAATAAGCAATTTGTCATATTTCAGAGGAGCTGTTTTAGAACCGTGTGAAGCCTAACTTTGTGGCTGCCCAAAGTCTCACTTACTGCCCTTAGATGCTTCCCTTGTGGCTTCTGAGAACCAGTGCTGAGCACAGTGGGAGAACCCTAGCTCCTGGGCACTTCTGTGAGTGGAGGGCTGCCCGAAGGACTCTTACAGTTAGGGAGTATGAAACTCATCCCGTAAGGGATATTGAGATTACACTAGACCAGAGGCTGTGTCCAGATTCTGTCCATGGAGAAGCATAATACCAAAATTAACCCCTTCCCTCCCCCTTCTAAAAGCACAAACCGATCAACCAAGCAAAAATACCTTAATTTTTATTTTCCCAAGAGTTTAACCTTAAATGACTTTTTAAAATTATATTACAAAGACATCTAAGTTAGGATGAAAATATTAAGATAGGTGTTTTGTGTGAGTAGCATTACTGCAGATAATCCAGGTGAAAGTTTAATTATCACTTTTTCTCCGTTTTTCTTTTATTTGAAGACAGCATAAAATTTGAGTTTATTGAATATTAATGCAAGACTCTTGGATGTAAACCAAAGGGGTTAGGGTTTTTCTTTTCTGTATCATTTCCTAAATTCCTGAAAAAATAAGCCTGTTTATGTTTCTGTGAAGAAGCACAGATTTTAAACCCTTTTTATGACATGAATTAATGATTTAGAGTAGACCCTGACAGATGGTTTATTTCCTAGCTGGGAAGCATCAGACAACTTTGCCAACTGTAAGAACTTGAAGTAAAGCGTACTTCCCAGGGTGGCTGTAGACCCCCATGAGATAACATGACGAGTATGTAGTCAGTTAAATGTTAGTAGACATCCAACACATTTGTTTCCCTTTATATAGGCCAACTGGGTTCTGGTGGTGGTTTACTTTCTTTGAGTAGGCAGGAAGAAGGAAGCTATAAGAAGTAGTGCTTCTTGGCCGGGCGCGGTGGCTCACGCCTGTAATCCCAGCACTTTGGGAGGCCGAGGCGGGTGGATCACGAGGTCAAGAGATCGAGACCATCCTGGTCAACATGGTGAAACCCCGTCTCTACTAAAAAAATATACAAAAAATTAGCTGGGCATGGTGGCGCGTGCCTGTAATCCCAGCTACTCAGGAGGCTGAGGCAGGAGAATTGCCTGAACCCAGGAGGCGGAGGTTGCGGTGAGCTGAGATCGCGCCATTGCACTCCAGCCTGGGTAACAAGAGCGAAACTCCATCTCAAAAAAAAAAAAAAAAAAAAAAAAAAAAGAAGTAGTGCTTCTTCCTGGGTTAAAAAAAATCACTTTAATAAAGGAACAAAATCTTAACAAGGTTCCTTTGCTCTTAATTTCAGTTTGTCCACACTAGAAATTGAAAATAGAGCCCAAGACCTTCATCTCTTTGAGACTTTGAGGACTGATCCAGAAGCCTTTCACCAGCACATGGTCAGGTATATTTACCCCACGATTGGTGGCTTTGATCACGAAAGGCTGCTGTATTATTTCACTCTTCTGGAAAACTGTGGCTATGCAGGTTTGGAGAAGTATGCCATTAAACCAGAAACCCACATTCGGCTGCTGAAGAAATTTAAGGTTGTTGCATCAGGTAAGATGGTTCTTTCTCTGCTTGAATTCATTCTTTTAAAATAAATCTGGGGATCAATTTTCTGCACATAATTCTGTTCATGCATTATGGTCGGTAGAGCTCTGAAACCACAGAATTTGGAAGCTAATAGACTTTAGTTATTATCTTTCCAACTCCTTCACTTGTGGTTGAGGGAATTAAATAAGAAAAAGTAAGAAACCTGTTGAAAGTCGCATGGTGACTTATGGTAGACCTGATACTAAAATCCAAAGTTCTGGAGTTCTGCTCCAGGATATTTTCACTACTCCCATTGGTTATATTTTATGTATATAAATGGCAAGGCCAAGGACACTTTATAATAGACAGTTCAGCAGAATTTCATTCTACTGGAGCCTGTATGTTTAAAATATGCATGGAACACTTCAAGTAAGAGTCTTCGAATCTTTGATAAATTGTGGAAATCTTAGAATGGTCTTTATTCTCATAACTAAGAAATTAAACACCTGAAGACCTCTTAAATTTTTATACCTTATAATTTGCAAGGCACATTCAAATCTGTATTTATTTGATATTCATAATAATTGTGAGAGTTCCCTTCAGTTTATCAGTTGTTTTCTGAGTCATCATATGAGACACTGGCCTAGACACAGAGGATGAGGGAATAAGATTCAGTCCTTACCTTCAAGTAAATAGTGAAATGGCAGATAAATAACAAATGAATATAGTGCAGTTTGGTGAATGCACCGATAGGAGAAAACAGGTGCTGTGGGGGATGCAGAAGTCATGGAGATACTGTCATCTTTGGTGTACAAACAAGGAAATAGAGGCACACAGCAGATGAATGGCCTATCTGGTAAGATTCAGGCTGTGACTGGAACTCAGATTTCCTGATCTTTCTAATAGAAAACCTAAACCAGCTACCATAGCTAAGTTGATAGATATTTGCATTCAGACATACAGAGTTGTGTGCGCGTGTGAAAGCACCTGTATTTTTGCATCCGAATGAACCACTTACCTACTTTCTTTTTTTTCTGCTAGGTCTTAATTACAAAAAGCTGACAGATGAAAACATGAGTCCTCTTGAGGCACTGGAGCCAGTTCTTTCAAGTCAAAATATCTTATCTATTTCCAAACTTGTTCCCAAAATCCCTGAAAAGGATGGACAGATGCTTTCCCCGAGCTCTCTGTACACCATCTGGTTACAGAAGTTGTTCTGGACTGGAGACCCTCATCTCATTAAACAAGTCCCAGGCTCTTCACCGGAGTGGCTGCATGCCTATGATGTCTGCGTGAAGTACTTTGATCGTCTCCACCCAGGTGACCTCATCACTGTGGTCGATGCAATTACATTTTCTCCTAAAGCTGTGACCAAGGTAAACAGAAATATATTTTAAAGTGGTTTGTGCACGTTAGAAGACATGAAAATCGCTCCTACATTCTGTAGATTTTATTTTTATTTCCTTTCTTGAATTGGAAAATAATTACATGTTGGCTTTTTAGAAAGGTTTTTTTTTTTTTGCTGTCAATGAGACGTTTTAATTGAGAAATTGTTTTTCTCTATTACAAATGTACAAATATGCTAAAATAGAGATGACTGCTCTAATGTATACTTTGTACATGTTACATACAAGTCTCTTGTCATTTTATAGTAAATATGCCATTCTGTTCTTTCCAGTTGACAAATGTAAATAAGTTCCAGTGCCCAGCCCAGATTACCTGCACTCAGAAACCAGGCTAACAACTTAGCGTGGGTTAAACCGAATCTTTAAAAAAGTTATTGGCTGGGCTCAGTGACTCATGCCTGTAATCCCACACTTTGGGAGGCTGAGGTGGGTGGATTACCTGACGTCAGGAATTTGAGACCAGCCTGGCCAACATGGCAAAACCCCATCTCTACTTTAAAAAAAAAAAAAAGAAAATAAATTAGCTGGGCATGGTGGTGTGCTACTACTCAGGAGGCTGAGGCAGGAGAATCACGTGAACCTAGGAGACGGAGGTTGCAGTGAGCCGAGAGCATGCCACTGCACTTCAGCCTAGGAACAGAGTGAGATTCTGTCTCAAAAAAATAAGAACATAAAAAAATAAATAAGTTCTTATGCATGTCATGCAGTATATAACTTGGTGATAGAATTATCGAAGGTAATACATACTGCATTTTCTGATGTCTCCTCCATGCTCAGTTCTGAGCCCTTTGACTGGATCTTAATACCTCCACTCAATTCCTCAGCAATGTGTTGCCTCACTCAGAGTAGATAATTTGGGTTCTCCTCCTCCCCGTTCCTGTCCCCTCAGCCAGCCTCACTGCTAAACAAATGGCCATTTTTTACTACCTGGACTCTGGGCATTCTCTCTCCTGGAAAATCTTAGCCTGTGGCCTCAACTGCTGAACTCTGTCACCTTTGGAGCTCCCTTTTGATCTCTTGCCATCTTTGCTGTTGCCTTCTCCTTCCCTGCAAGTCACCAAGGCTGCCTGGTATCCTATCCCCAAGATTTTTATTTTAGTTACTATTATCCTGGAAACAGAGTGTAAAGACTAAGAATTATGAATCATTCATCTGGAGATTGGCACAGGCAGAGGTTCCAACTTCTGTGAAGAATGCCAGTTGTAACCATATCACTAGATTCGTAGCTGTGGATAACCACATACCTCTTTATTTTCTTCTTATTGCAACTCAAATTATATATCTTGGTTTTAAATTTTACAACCAGTGCTATAAAAAGGAAATAATCATTTTTGTTGTTTTTAAATAGAAAAATAAGGATGAATTTAAAAGACAAGAGCATAATATATTTGAAAAGAATGTGTTTGGAGACCTATAAATCTGACTTTGAACTCTAAACCCCTCACTTATTAGCTGTGTGGCTTAGCTTCAGGAATCTCTCTTAGACTTCCACTTCCTTGGGACAGAGGTTGTGGCTGAGTAATCTGTGAGGTAGATGATATTATTACTCCAGTTTTATAGATGAGCAAACTGAGGCTCAGCAAAGTTAAGGTGGCAATAGAGAATTCAATTTGAACTCATGGAGATTTAACCCATGGCCTTTTCTATTAACTAGTGAACTGTGCTATCTCTATGAAGTCATAGAGCAAGCAACTAGAGTCGGGGGACCTGCAACCATTCAAAAAATTGTGGGAAAGCAGCGGAACCAGAGAGCCCTGAGCATTTTTAGCCCAGTAGGAGCAGCATGTCCTGGATGTGTCCAGAGCAGGGCTGAATCTAAATGAGAAAGTCCAGGCAGGAACCTGACTGTGTATGGGAAGGAACTGAGCCAAGTTGTGAGTTTAAAATCCAAGGAACCAGCTTAGAGTTGAGACTCGTGAACTAGCCTTCGGGGCTAACAGGCTGGCAGGTCAACCAGGAAGATGGAGGTACCTTTGCTCCCAGGCAGTTTTCTACTCCACCCTCAGACTGGAGGTTGTATTAAATATTTTATGTGAGGGCAGGAAGGGAAGCCAGCATGGTCAGCCGGTCTGTATGCTAATTGTGAGCATGTATGTGGAGGGGACAGAGAGTTTTAGACTTGGCAGCAGCAATCATTTATTTATGATTAAAGATAAGAGTAGGATGTAAAGTCCACTTGCGTTTTAGCTGTTATTTATGATGCTTTAAGTTAACGGATTTTAAATTATTCACATTCAGTTATTCACATTCTTATTGCTTTAGTTTCTTAACCTTATACTTCTTTCAAGAAGTCTGCCAGCCCCTGCAAATGTGTGGCACAATTGTTGGTGCACATGTGTGTATTTTGTGGGGTAGAGGTGCACCTGACCCAGTAGAGACTCAGTCTGTTAATTATAGTATTGCTTTCGCTTCTCAGATGGCATAATCCAAGCATAGATATTTCTTAAGATATTTCTTAACTAGAGGCAATTTTCTACTGATTCAAATAAATTATAGAGAGATGAGACAGATACATTTAAAATTAACTTTATATCTTTAGTCTAACCACAATATTTTTTTCTCATTTTATTAATTGGTAAGCTTTTAATTTTTTGCTCAAAGAGGAAAAGTATAAACTTGGAAAAATTGCATGTTTGAAAGCATGCAATGCTGTCCTATATAGATAGAAAGAGACAGAGTATAAAAATCAAAATGAAACATAACCTGCAGATGTCAGAGAACACATTTGGAAGAGGCAATGCAGCTGGATTTGCCCAAATTTGCAAAACACCAGATGTTCCCACAGCTTGTGTATGATGTTAAAAATGTAAACTAAGTCTGTACTGTTCATATACAGTGTACAGTTTTCAAATGTGTACCCACATTTAATTTAGAAAGAAATTTTTAGAAAGAACTGGTAAGCTAATTCTTGGGTGCATAACAAGAATAAGAAGCAATTGTTCAGATGTTAGAATTCAGAAAGGAATATTCCCAAGGCCTGAATTGAGTACCCAGTCCACTGGTAAAACATACCAGAGATGGCTCTCTGCCTTCATGGTAATTGCCATGTGCATTTGCCGAATTCTTAGAAACTCTGGGGAAAATATTCACAAATAGTATCATGTCATGTAGTCAGAGAGTGAATTTGTATGCCATTTGAGATAATTAATATGCAGAAGGAAAAAGGATGCAAATGTTTAAAGTGCCATTGTACCAAGTCTAAATTGTTTTTTTTTTTTTTTTGGGTTGAATCGGGTTAGAATTGCACTTCTATTCCTCGTCAATTCAGCTGTTATAAGCATTTTCATAAAAGAGACAGAGAATAAGTTAGTGCGTTAGAAATCCAAGAAAACAGTTGTAAAAGAGGCTGAAAGGCAAGTGAGAACATTATTTGCTTGGTATTAGGTGGTTAGTAGTGGGCCACATATATGTAATCTTAGCCTTTACGTTTTCTACTTTTCATTTGCTTTTAATAGCTAGTACTGCAACATCCATAGATAAAAGCATAAAAATGCTTCTCTCTCTTATGAAATGCTGTTAAGAAGTTTGCCGGGATCCTTCTTTAAAAACTCATAGGTAATCATACAATTTAAAAAGCCCTCTAGTACCTTCCCTGGTGTTTCTCAACCTGGAATTGGATAGGCATTTACCCACTCCCCTTTCCACTCACCTTGCACGTGCTCACCCACCGTTTGTGATTAATTGTCATAAACCACTGCTTCTAATGGGAAACGCGTTGCCTCCTTTGGACTGGAGCAGAAAAATTGTTGAGAACTTATCTAGTCTATTTTCTAACCATCAAACATCATTTCTATTGATAATTAAGCCAGTATCCCTGCTTACTTGCTTTATTTATTTAATAAAAGGTATCTTTTGCCTAATTTTAATCTCCACTGTTTGGTTCTGCCTCCTGGAGTTATGGAAGCAGCATAAGAGCATCATTGTTGTTCAGATTTTCAAAATAAGCTATTGTTTCCTCTCTTATCCTATTATTCAGCCTGTTTGGCATAAAAATCTGATAGAATACATTAATCTTAAAAGGTATAATTTGACCTAAAAGTGGAATTTATCATGTAAGCTTAAGTCTTGATCAAAAGGATGCATTGTACTGTAACTTCAGGGTCTCTACATTACCGATACTATCTTTTCACTAAGGATGGCAATACATCTTTCATCATGAGTAATCAGTGTCTGAAACTTACATATAAATGTTTATTTAATGTATATTATGACTTTCTGTGATGCCGTATGTCAGATTCAGAGTGAATCATGAAGTATTTAGGCATCTGCTATGTGCCATATATAGTGTTAGTTTCCATAGGAGACATTAAGCTATAAAAGACATGCTTACAAGAAACGTGAAATGAAGGTTTTTAAAGATTATATAGTAAAACGATTTTTAAGTTGTGTTAATTGAGAAGTACATTGCCCATGAAATTGGAAATTTTTGAGGACAGGGATGGTTCCTTTTATCTATTATTTCCTGTGTCCTAGCACAATATAAAGTAGGTACTTTATAGTTAGGTGATTGATTAGATAATTATCATAGATTGGTCATTCTCAAAAGTTTTGATCTCAGGATGTCTCAATATTCTTAAGAATTATTGAGGATCCTAAAGAGTTTTTATTTATGTAGGTTATGTCTAGTAATATTTATTGTATTAGAAGTTAAAGACAAAATTTTAAACATATTCATTTATTTTAAAATACTAATAATAGAGTCATAATAGGTTGATGTGAATAGCATATTTACTGAAAAACAACTATATCTCTAAGATAAAAAAATAATGAAAACATAGCACCATGTTACATTTACATGTCAGGCTGAATAGAACACAGTGGGATTCTCATGTTAGTTTCTACATTCAGTCTATTGTTGTTTTGGTTGAAGTAGGTGAAGAAAACCCAACCTTATACAGATAAGAGTTTGGAAAAGGGAGAGGTATTGTAATAGCCTATTATTTGATGTATTCTTTGATATTACACTGAAA